TATAGTTATTATGATAATTTTTTGCCACCCTGCTTAAATTATCTACACAGGGTTGCCCAGGATCCCAAACCACCTACCCAACTTGTCTACACAGGTGGTTAGCTAGTTTTCTCTTCCCATTTTGCCTTCGAATTTGATGGTATTCCCATATACTCCTTGGTGGGTGATTACAAGACATATGCACTATGCGGATGGTTACAGGTATGGCTTTTAGGTAAAAGGTTTGGTTATGCAAGTATTTGGATGTATAATGATAAACTAATTAAATAGTTAGGTACATAATTTCATGGCATGATATTCAATTATATAACTTGTTGAAATCAAGGTAAAGAATGATTATAGAATTTCATCGTTGGTTTCACTTTGAATTTTTTTGTACTATCTTAATTGTGATTCATGGTAGAAAGAAGTATGTGCGGTTTGATCCCTCAGCAAGGGTATGTAGGCAACCTAGGCTAACCTAGGTGCAACCATAAGTTTATGATTTGTTTGTTATGTTAAGTTTTATCAAGTTGAATTTGTTGACTTTCTTATGTTGGTAAAAGGGGGCCTGAAGCCCATTGAAACTTTTGCTAATTGGTGTGTGGTTTATACCTTATGCTTGCTAAACGCTTGGGAAAAATTGAGTTTGCTGTGCATGTAGATTTCTGGGTTTTGAGCATTTTTCAGGGGAAACTCTACCGGTTTTCTAGTAGAAGTCAAACCCTAAAGCAATTTTTGGGATTAAGGCAAGAAGGGTATTTTGGTCATTCGTGCTCGACACCTGCCAGGTGTTGGACATGCACAGGGTTCGACACGGATTCCAAAGTGGAATTTGGGTCGGGTCCTTTCAGAAGGAGATAGGTTTTTGTCTTTCTTTTGATTTTTCGTTTTTAATTTATTTACTATTTTATTTAACTGGACTTTTTTACCCTTATATTTGACGACAATATTGACAAAATATAACGGTAGGACCAATGTGCCGATTAAAAAAGGGTTAGTGGACCATTTGAAAGAATAATTTAGTTGAGGGACCAAAATGCAACTCGGGTATGAGTTTAAGGACCATTTGAGTAAATAACCCACACTTCAAAGCTTTTTTTTGTTGTTGTCAATATATAATACTTAAAAGATTAAGATTGTCACAAAAGACCCACTAGTGTAATAGTTTGGAGTAAGTGCTCAAGGTTCTCCAAAAAAAAAATTATATTTCCATTTTGAGCTTATGAAATTATATAGAAACAGAGAAAATCCTAGAATATACAACAATTAAACATTCCCATGCCTAAAACCTAAATAATAAAGCCCCTTTTGATTCACGGAACGTATTTGAGGGGAAATCACTTCCCATATCATTTCCTAAGGGATGGGAAATGAAGATTTCTTTCCCATGTTTAGTAATGTTGGGAAAGTAATTGGGAGATATCACTTTATTTCCTTTCTCATGTTTGTTTTGAGTAGGAATGAAAAACAAATTTTGTATAATTTTTCAATTATACCCATATTAAATCAAATAAAAAAAAAGAATGCATTGAATGATATATAAATTATAATTCTAAATTGTTAATGGGGACAAAATAGTCATGAAAAATGTACATTTAATGTTGGCTCATTTTCCCCAACTTTCCCATGAGGAGGGAAAACAAAACCCATGGGAGGTGGAGGGCTTCACTTTCCCCCTACTTTTCCATGTGCTAGAGAACCGTTTCCCATGCTTGAACTTACCAAACAGGTGAAGGCAATTGATTTCTCACCCTTAAGCCTCCTTTCCCATGAACCAAACGGGGCCTAAAAGAATTGAGAAGGAGGTTGGATGTCTCTCCAAGGGCCTCCCATGAGATCTGTCCAAATATTGATGCCTCTATCTTTTGTGGAGTCCAATACAAAATGACATGTGCCTAAGTTTAAAATTTTCATAAAGTGTTTTTTATACACATAATTTTGAATAATTAAACTATTTTAAAAATAATTTTTGGGTTATAAATACTTTTTCTTAATACCTTTTAATATATTTTTTTAAAAGTCACTATAATTATGAATGATCGATCAAATAATTATTTTGGAAATTATTTAAAATATTTAATTATTCATGGAACACAATTAATATACACGCATTTTTACTAAGGACTACTAGCTACATACCCTTCTTACCTTCCTTTTGTTGCCTTCACATTTCAATTTGTGCTACGTATATTTCACTTACACATAAATCTATGTATTTAACGTGTTCAAAAACATAATCATGTACAATGTAGTATATGTATGTTCAAATAAAAAAACCCTACCCGCATTCTGGTCCCCTTTCTCCTTGCCGACAACCAACTGCAAGGAAGCTAAGGGGGGAGGTGGCCACTGCCCCTCCTCCCCTCTGCCCATCTTCCCATTCCTCTCCTCATCTTTTCCCTTCGTCTTATCTCCTCTTCTCCTCCCTAGATAGTCTAGATCTGTTTGGATCTAAGTTTGTTTATATGTTTGTTTTGTTTGATTGTTTTAGCAATGTTCGTCTAGATCTGTTTGGATCTAAGTTTGTTTATATGTTTGTTTTGTTTGATTGTTTTAGCAATGTTCTAGGTGATTGGTGTTGTCTTTGTCTCGACGACGACAGTAGTGATGCTGGATTGTGACTCTCCTCGAGAGAGTTGTGATACATGGTGGCTGATGTTTTGTCTCTATTTTAACGACGGCGACAACAGCGACGCTGGTGGTAGTTGTTGGGATGTGGTGCTTTTCTCTACTCTACGTCGACCAAAGAACTATGCTTGGTCATATGAGGTTTTCTTTGTCTAGTTTTGAGTTGAAGTAGAGTGTTTCTCAGGGGTCCTTTTATTGTTGTTTATGTGGTGACGCTGGATTGTGACTCTCATTGGGAGAGTTGTGATACCTGGTGGCTGATGTTTTGTCTCTGTTTCAACGGCGGCAGCAGCAACGACGCTGGTGGTAGTTGTTGGGATGTGGTGCTCTTCTCTACTCTGCGCCAACCAAAGAACTATGCTTGGTCATAGGAGGTTTTCTTTGTCCGGTTCTAAGTTGAAGTGAAGTGCTTCTCAGGGGTCATTTTCTTGTTGTTTATGTGTTCCTCCTGCGTGTTCTCTCCTAGTTTCTACTATGGTATGCCTTACAGTTTGTGTGGGTGTCGAAGGACTATGATTTTGCTCATAGAAGGCTTCTTTTGACAGTTGGGATATTCTACGGTCCTCTCATGTGGGTCCTACTATGTTGGTTTATAGTTGCGGTTCTCGTCGAAGGTCTATGTGTTAGTTTTCATTTTGGATTTGTTCTTTTATTGCAATGGTCCAAAGTGACCTGAATTAGACTCTCTTGTTAGTCCATGACATGTGTGGTACTCTTTCCTCCCCCGGGATTTGTTCCATGAGATTGTCCTAGGAAGGTTTTAACGAGGCCACTATATCATGTCGTTCTTTGTACGTCTTTGGTTCTATGAATGAATTCTCTTTCTAAAAAAAAATATTGAAAAACACTTTATTCTCTTTACAAGCGGAATATTAGTACTTCATATTAAATACATGGATTTATGTGAGTGGAATATATGTGGCACAAACTAAATGAGAAAGACAAGAGGGAAGGTAGCTAGCATTTCTCTATATCTTAATATTTAAGTACATTTTGATAATGTTTTTATTTTTGAAAGTTTTAATTTAAATTAAGTGTTGAACAGTAATTGTATTGATAAATTATGCACAAAGACCATAAGCCACAAGGGCTAGTACAAATATCCACAAAGGGGTAATATAAAGATGGAAGCATAGTAACCACGCAGGGTTAATCCAGATACATAGAAACACAACGGCAACATCAAGTGCACAAGGTGTATCTCCACTAATAGCCTCATAAGGCCAAAGAAATTTCGGCATAAAAGTCGCTAGCCTGAATAAGCCAGACATGAATTGCACTGCCTAAAACTACCAATACAACTACAACTTTTAAACTCTCACAAGTAGAAACTACTGGGAGATACTAGACTACAAACAAACACCCAGCTCACAAAGAGTTGATGCCATTATTACACCTCTAGAAACTGTAATCACCCAACTCACCAAAGATTTCAAGGACAACAAAATCACAAGAGCCGACAATGAAATCACCAGCACAACCAAGGTGAAAATCCAGTAAAAAAATTGATAAACAACCCTAAGAGAGAAAAGAGGAACACATAGGAGAGGAGGGGAGAAAGTGGAGAGGAGTGAAGGAGAGGAGGGAAGGGTAGAGAAGGAGAGGAAAGAAGAGGTGAGGGAAGGGTAAGGGAAGAAAAGGGTGGGGAAGGAGGCCACCACCCCCAAAGGGACCGCGACTAGAGCTAAGTTCCTTAGGGTTTATTTTTATTTTTTTATTTTTATATAGAGATAGTTCCTTAGGGTTTCTAGAGAAAATAACTTTTTATTTTTATTTTATTTTTAAAGTTGATGTTATAATGAGAAGGATAAAATTGATAATGTCATTTTTGTTGTTGTTGAAGATGATTAATGACAAATTGACATCTGCATAATGTAATTATTTGGATCTAATTTAAATAGACCAAGCCCCATTTTTTGTTTATGTGGTTTGGCTTATTTTCCACTTTAGTGTCATATAATTTTGTTTAGTTAGCTATTAATTCTACAAACCTAATAATGTTAAGAAAAATAGATGAATTCTTTCGTCGTGAATTCTTTCCTCTCATGTGGTTATTGCATATTATCATGTCGAATTACATCTATTAGTTTGGTGAAATTTGTGATTTGAACTTGATTGCAACAATATCAAATTGCAAAACAAAAATTTCAAAAATTGAAACAACGAGAACCAAAGTGAAAAACGTATAAATTTACAAGGATAAGAATGTAATTTGACCATTTGAATAAGCTCAAGATGACAATGGGCTTGGGCGACAAGAGAATTTTATTTTTTTAGGAAAAAGAGTGGGGGTGAGAGAAAAAAGACAGCAGTAAGTTACCCACAAGAAAGAGAAAGAGCTGCGAAGTAGAGAAAACATGAGGCTTTTGGGGGACAGCGAAGCAGATGTCAATCAAGTAGTTTGTATAAATACAAGGTTCAGCTCTCTCCGTGTTTAAGGCTGAGAGAGATCCCAGTGTTCTAGCCATATCCCTTTATCCTTGCCTTGCTAGCTCTCTCTTTCTCTTTCTCTTTCTCTTTCTCTTCTCTTCTCTGTTTCTTCATTCTCTTAAACAGAGATTTCTGGCAGAAAATTGAAGACCCATTTAATTTTTTTGATCCCTGTTGGGTTTTCTTCTCATTAAAAACAGAGATTAATTGCAGACATTTAGAGACACACTATACACAGAAGAGAGAAAAGGTACTAGTTCATCTTCTCTCTGTGTCAGCTTGTCTTCTTACTCTGTTTAGTTTTTATGCTTTGGTACTTGCTCCATCAGATCTCATCATATCGTGATGGTTATGGTGTTTTTTTTTCCATGTCTTTTTTCTTCTGTCATTTCGTCAAACACATTGTCATCATCTTGTTAATGGGTTTCTTTCCTTTGCACATTGGATCTGGTTTCTGATCAGACTCCCTCTTTTTCTCTTTTAATTTCCTATTTTTGGACGATGGTAATGGCACGCGGTTTTCACTTTTGTCAAATGCTTAATTTATCTCCCTTTTCGAAAAATGGGTTTTTAGTGTTGTTCTTGCTCTGTTGATTTGCTTTTTTAAGAAATGACTGGTAAATTCCTTTTCACAAGATGGGTGTGTATGATCTGTTTAGTCTTTTCTTTTTCGTTATTTATTTTCTAGTTTGAAATGAAGGACTGGGTTCTATGTAATCTGCCTTCAACACTCTTTTGGTTTCTTGGCCCTGTTTCAGCGAAATTTAGGTGCATTTGTTGCTATGCTTTTGTGGGTTTGGATTGGAAGAATGTGCTTGCTTTGTTTGCTTTGTTTGTTTCTTGTTTATTTTGATATATCTATGAATCATCATGATTCAGAAAGAAAACAGCTGATTGGCAAGCAATAACTCTGAATCATGCGTAATTACCCAAAAAAAAAAACTCTGAATCATGCGTAATTACCAAAAAAAAAAAACTCTGAATCATGCGTAGAAACTTTTCTTAAGCTTCAAGAAAATGATGAAATTATTGATGCTTTCTCACTTTATTTCCCTTTTCATTTCCATTGTTTGTTGTAAAGAACGCACTGCTTTTTTGGCCTTTTTGACTTAGTGGCGGTGAAAAATAGAGAGAGAGAGAGAGAGAGAGAGAGAGGGAGGGAGAGACCGCGTCACGGACGGCTCTGTTTGATGCGGTTGGGCCAATTGTCATGTGAGAGACATAAAAGGATGTTGACATGGAAAGTAGAAAGTGTCGGTAGTTGCCATCAGATCTTGTAGTTGAAGTGGTCTGTCTTCACTATTCCGATTTCGCCACTTGGTCTGGCATCATTTTGCTATTTTTTCAACCTTTTCCCACTCCCCTTCTTTTTTTGAGTGAATTGTGTAAATTTGTTATCCATGAGCTGGATCTGGATCCATCCGAGGAAATTGGTTCTCACTTTTCCAGTGTGTGATCCACATCTTATTTTGTGCTTCTCATGTTTAAGATTGATGGATTGGTTTGATTTAGTTAAACATATGCTTTATGCTTTTATTTACGTTGTTGGATCAGTGTCCATTAGTTTTTTACTTTTTAAAAGAATTTGTGAAGTCCATCTAATTAACTGGATGTGGGCAATAATTGCAGGGCATTTTAAGATAAATGGATGTGAAGTTAAGATTAATGCATTTAGTACTCTTTTCACTTCTTTGATTTCTGATGCTTTAGTTTGATATATGGGATGACATGGGGAAAGAAAGAAACCCTTGTGACCAGTCTGGTTTGAGTGGCTGCTTTAAGTTTCCACTAGTGTTTTGTACTTTAACGACTTCTTAGTACTACTTCACATGAACAAAATTTTCTCACCCTTTTGTGGTGAATGGTGCTCGGTAGCAGATCGGCATTATTAAAAATCTGTATGCACCTACAATTATGAAGACATATAATATGCCTTGTATCTGTGCAGATAGGTAATACTTTCTGAGATCATGAAGCATAAAGATGGAAAACCAGGACCCCAAGGTACCAGGGTTTTCCCCATGACAATCTTGTTTGTTGTGCTATGCGGGTTTTCATTCTATCTTGGTGGAATCTTCTGTTCTGAGAAGAACAGAATTGAGCCTTCTGATGTCAAAGATGTCACAAAGGCAATTCAATCATCCAAGGAGTCACTTGTGGCCCCTCTCCAAATGAAAACTGTTTCCTTTGCTGAATGCAGCAGTGACTATCAAGACTACACCCCATGCACAGATCCAAGGGTATCTCCTTAATCATTGATCATATGGTACTTTTTGCTTTTTGGAATTTGGGAACCACTAGATGTTTATCAAATTGTGTTGAAAATGATGCATGCTTGTTGTACAGAGGTGGAGAAAATATGGTGTTCATCGGCTTACTTTCATGGAACGCCACTGCCCTCCAGTATTTGAAAGGAAAGAGTGCTTAGTTCCACCTCCAGATGGGTATAAGCTACCAATCAGATGGCCAAATAGCAGGGATGAATGTTGGTACAGGTAAATAGTTTAATAGTTTGTTTCTGATATGTATGGTCAAAATTCCAGTTTTAAGTTTCTACTTGTTTCATCGAGAAAAAAACAAAACAAAAGAGTTTCTCTGAGTATACCTTGTGGATCTGGTTTCAGGAATGTGCCATATGATTGGATTAACAAGCAGAAATCTAATCAGAATTGGCTAAGAAAAGAAGGGGAGAAGTTTCTCTTTCCTGGTGGAGGAACTATGTTTCCTAGAGGTGTATCTGCATATGTCGATTTGATGCAAGATCTTATTCCAGAAATGAAAGATGGGACTGTTCGAACTGCCATTGATACTGGGTGTGGGGTGAGGCCGATTTAAATCTTCTTTTGCATTTTCCAACATTTATAATGGTAAATATAAATGAAAATTTCTGGTGGGTGAAAGCATAATTTATTCTATTGGGAGGGTGTGCTTATGTTAGCATAATTTAGTCAAAATGCTTGTTGAAATTTGATTTGTAGCTTTCTTTTTTCATGGTTATGATTTTTAATTTTGTAATACTCTATTTCTTTATTGTTCTTAAAGCAGCATTAACAGTTTACAGGGTTTGAAATTTTATAATAAAATTTAATGTTCATTCTGAATAATTAAATTTGTTCGAAGTTACATCAGTTCATCTCTTTAATTTACTAATATTTAGGTTGCAAGTTGGGGAGGTGATTTGCTAGATCGGGGGATTTTAACAGTTTCTCTCGCCCCAAGAGATAATCATGAAGCTCAAGTTCAGTTTGCCTTGGAACGTGGAATTCCAGCAATCCTTGGCATCATTTCTACACAGAGGCTTCCTTTCCCCTCAAACTCGTTTGATATGGCTCACTGCTCAAGGTGCCTCATCCCATGGACGGAATTTGGTAATTCATCTATTAAATTCTTATAAAAATCTTTCAATCCTAGAGAATATAATTCAGTTTATAGATCTTGATGTCCAGCTGCTGAAACCAGTTTCAAATAATATCTTGAAATAACATAGTGCTGCATTGCATTTTGCCTGCTAGCTCAGCCATATGAAATGTATGCATGTATAGAACTTTTCCGTTAGTGTATATAAGTATTAAGATATGTGTAGTTTTCACTAGTTCTCTTTGAATTTGGAGATTATTTTCTTCTTCTTCTTTTTTTTTTTTCTCTCAAACCACCTTAGACAACTTCTAGCCACAAAGTTCCTGTGTTCCAATTTTAATTTTTAATGAAAAATTCCCTGGATCACTTGAGAACTTTATATTATTGCCATAAGATTGGAACTTCCTCTCTTCCCTTGTAGAATATCATAGAATGGAAATATCTTTTTCCTCCTCTCTTTATCTTCTTTTTTATTTTTCTAGTTTGGGGGTTGGGGTTACCACTTGTCTTAATGGCTACTATCCTGCTTTCAGGTGGAATTTACCTCCTTGAAATTCATCGTATACTCCGCCCTGGAGGTTTCTGGGTCCTGTCTGGTCCACCTGTCAACTATGAAAACCGCTGGCGTGGATGGAACACAACCATAGAAGAGCAGAAATCAGATTATGACAAGTTGCAAGAACTGCTAACTTCATTGTGCTTCAAATTGTATAACAAAAAGGATGATATTGCTGTTTGGAAGAAATTGTCAGATGATAGTTGCTACAATAAACTTAATGAGCCAGATTTCTATCCTCCGAAGTGTGATGATAGCCTTGAACCAGACTCAGGATGGTACACGCCATTACGCTCTTGTGTTGTCGTTCCTGACCCAAAGCTAAAAAAGTCAGCTTTGAAATCCATCCCTAGATGGCCAGAGCGGTTGCATGTTGCACCAGATCGTATTTCCAATGTGCATGGTGGGAGTGCTAGTGCTTTTAAGCATGATGACAGCAAGTGGAGGGTACGATTGAAGTACTACAAGAAGTTGCTCCCAGCAATTGGGACAGATAAGATCAGAAATGTTATGGACATGAACACAGTATATGGAGGTTTTGCTGCGGGGACGATTGATTATCCTTTGTGGGTCATGAATGTGGTCTCTTCCTATGCTGCAAATACACTGCCAGTGGTCTATGATCGGGGCCTTATTGGAACTTACCATGATTGGTAAACTTCATTCATATTTTCATTGAAGCTTTGATCTGTACGAATAGCCTGCTTTTGATGCACTTTCCATGTGGTCATTATTATGAAATCTACCGGTCTTTTGTTGATTTATTTGTTTTCTCCTTTTGCAGGTGCGAAGCTTTTTCTACATATCCCCGAACTTATGATCTTCTACATCTTGATGGCCTCTTTACTGCAGAAAGCCACAGGTAAAAAATGAGCCTCCATGCATCTTTTCTTTAATTTGGCATATTGAACTAGTTAGTTAATCTTAGAAGTTAGGTTCTCTATGCAGATAACCTAGGAAGTACACACACACAGACAGTTATAAATTCAACTGTATAAATGGTTCTAATGATGTTAGTGTTTTGGGCAGATGCGAAATGAAATATGTACTCTTAGAGATGGACCGAATCCTGCGCCCCAACGGGTATGCAATAGTTCGAGAATCCAGCTACTTTGTGGACGCTGTTGCGACTATTGCCAAAGGCATGAGATGGGGTTGTCGCAAAGAAGATACTGAGTATGGCATTGGGAAGGAGAAAGTATTGATATGCCAGAAAAAACTCTGGTATTCATCGAATCGGACTTCTAGATGATGAACATAGAAACCCAAACCAAGTTTGATCTCTTGGAGGGCCGGATATAGGGTTAGAAGCAAGTTCAATACCATTCACAGAGAATTAGTTCACTTCATTCTATAAGAAGCCAAGAATATTCAAATTTTATCATGAAGACTCAGTTACCCAATAAGGTGCTTTCATTAACATATAGGATTTGCGTATAGATATATTTTTTCAAAGGTGTCATAGTTTTTTTCTCTTTTCATGCCAAGCTGTAATAGAATGATTTGGAAATTTGTTTGTAATGGGTTTATATGTACCAAAAAATGAAACAGCAACGGGTTTAAAAATTCAGACCCTGACAGCTTGTTATTGTTTTAGAATCTTAAATGAACTTTGCTTCTGTTTTATGCAGTGACGCTACGCTGCAATTTTAGTTCTTTGTTATTCATGCACTTTTTTTTTCTTCCTTTGAATACAAGCGATAGTCTAAATTACAACGAGAGGGGGGCTTCCCACACACGCTACTTTTAGCACATGGTTTGAGATAATCTAATTAGCTCAATTTATATTTTAGATTTATCGTGATAAATCATTTTCCATTATGCTTTTATCCCAAATCATTCCTAAAGAATGTTTTAGCCATTACTATATACAGAGGTGATACAATGTCGTTTCCAAGATTGGTATGTCATCTACTGACAATTAATCTTCTTGTAATAGAAGAGATTTATTCATATCTTTGAAAAGACTCAAACTCTTGACTTTCTTATCAAAGTCGATGTTTCTAGCTCCCACTAGCTTGCTTAAGTTCATTGATGGACAACTATAGCTTATACACTTTGTGATTTGAACCTTGGGTCATTTCATAAAAGTCGTTTTGTGTTTCCTTTTGTTCAAAACTCACGATTCGAGTATGTAGCTATGGCAAGCAATATCCGAATAGTTACAAGTGAGAAGATTTCTCCATTGTCAACATTTTTTCACATTATTGTAATCCTCATGAAACTACCTTAGCCTCATAGTTTTCTATCTTGCCCTTCAAGCCTACCTTCCTCTTGAAGACCATTTGGAGCCAATAGGTACGATACCTTGTGATGGGTCAACTAGAGTCAAGACTTGCTTGGCATGCATAGAATCCAATTCGAATTTTTATGGTTTAATGCCATTTAATATGAGTAGATGTCATACACTTCCTCATGGTAGTTAGAACGATCTCCCCATTCTTCTAAGATGGTTCTCGGATCCAATTCGAACTACGTGGAGCTTTTCTCGGAACTAAGTTGTCACTTGAATGTTGATTTGTGGTTTCCTATCTTAAGCTAGTCCTCTTTCAAGGAATATAGTGTGCGATTCGAAAAATAACAATTGCTTGTCGGTTGATAGATGTAATGTCATAAGGTTTCATTTAGACATTCCACAAATCTATTTTAGCTCTAAGCTTATGCTTATCAACCCCTTTGATATCTATGACAAAATCTTAACATTATTAAGATTCAATTTTCATTACAACTACATCTTATGAAGTTCTTTGGAAGGTACTAGGTTTGGCAAGTATGTTGCCATTAACCGTGCTTATCCTAATATCAATTTAATCATTATGGAAAGAACCAAAATCATTCAAATTTCTCGTTAGGAGACTTCCATTATGATGTGATGCCATGTTCCTATAGTATAATTAAGGAACGTTTATCTTCTAATATTCCTTTCTTTGATCAACTCCAGGGTTTTAATACTATTGTCATTATGCTTCTCTTTTATACATTCTTGAATACTTTAAAACTATTTCAAAGAATTCAGACTTGTGTTTTATGAGATACACATAGTCCAACCAAGAGTGATCATCGGTGAATGCTATAAAACAAGAGAAGCATTTTGAGGTGTTACCCTTTTAGTAGGGTAAACCCTCTCTTTAGACCCTTTGGTTCTTTAAGGCATCATTGTTTCTAAACTATCATTCTATCATTCATTTCTTAAAAGAAAAGAGGCCATTATCGGATTGTAGCAGTCCAATTACTTGTTAATGAAGAACAATGTAATTTTGTCAAACAAAACAACATTTCCACCTTAAAGATGAAATTAAGTTCATTTAAGAAAATAAAGACGATTTTCATTCTTATACCTCTAATGTAGAACGTTTAAGGAAGTAGCTTCCACCTACTCTTTGAAGACTTATTCTTTCAAATCTTATACACTACTCTGTGCAGAGATTTGATCAATCATATCCTTGGAGTATTCTCTCTCCTTACTCAGAGTAGAGATTCATTGTTGTACATTCATTTGCCTTCATAACTTTATTGAGAGTCCTATTAAACACCTTTAAGTTATATCTTCTACAACACAACTGTATAGTGACCTCAAAGACAAACAACATAGCCACAAGACATATCTTGCAATCTATGAGTTTTAGTTTGACATGTGAGTAAAGACTCCCATTCTAGAACTCATGCATTTGATTGTGTTGAGTGTACTTGTTCTCCTGCAAGCACTTACACACATATCTTGGTGTTGCCACACTTAATGACTTGAGACCTCGTCCTTCTTTACATATAGAGAAGATACTGTGTGTACTGGTCTTGGTGGAATATCAATGCCCAATTGATACTTCTATGACCAGGAACATATTTAGGATTAGGGATCCCGATAAGTTTCGATGTATGTAATCTCATTACATAGTTCTCATATCCACTTATATATTCTTAAGACTATAGTTGTTTTACTGTTATTGTTAGAAATGTGCCCTAAGAGCCAATACATTTGATGTAATCTCCTTAGAATACATTTCGTATATGATATATAAAGGGCAAATTTATTTTGTTATCTTTTACATCGTGTAAAGAAAGAAATGTCCAGGGTATGCTGAATAAGAGATAAAGTAATCTAAAGAAGATTAGATTCGGGAGACCTTTAATCTCTAACTGTAGCATCCCAAAATGTTCCTAATCATAGGTTATCAAATGGGCATTGATAAACCGTCAAGATTAGCACATATTATGTATGCTCAATTGGGAGGATGGTTAGTCTCAAACCATTTGTGTAGTTGACACTAATACAAGTATGTGGGTGCTCATTAGTGAATGAGTACACTGAACGCGATCAACCGTAGTTCTCATATGGAGTATTTATCTACATGTCAAATGAGAACTCATAGTTGCAATAATGCAAATTAGTCCTTAGACCTGAGGCACACAAGCCGTAAAAGATTTGTCTTGGGTGTTGTTGGGATCTCTTAATTCATCATAGGGGCATATGAATGTACAATAAAGAATCTCTACTTTCGATAAAAGAATGAGAATGTTTCAAGATGTGATTCAGCAAATCTTTGGCCAAAGTATTTTGAGCTTGATTTAGAAAGTTGTTCTTAATCATGTTCTTTTGAATCACATGAGGTTATAAATCATATTAGGGGTTTGACATAAACAATCCGTACCCTAATAATATGATTTGAAACATTGTATAAGAGAA